TGGTGAGAATTAAGACGTGATGTGTGTAAAGCACTTGGAATCGTGTCTGGCACACTATAGGCACCAAGCAACTCTACCCATCCCTGTTTTACAGACGAGAACAGGGAGACACCCAAGGGACAAACTGAGGTCTCTCCTCTCTCATGTGTTAGTATAGGAGCAGGACTACAAGCTAGGTCTGTGGTCTGCAAGCTTCAGGGGTCTGAAGATACCCCAGAGGGCTTATAAGAAATTAGGTGTGCTGCTCTGGCCCGCCATCCCTGCATTTTGATTGGCAGCTCTGGGGTGGGGCCCAGGAATCTGCATTTTGAGGGCTTCTCAGGGGATCTGAGAACCACTCACTGAGAAGTACCATGGCAGGTCTGAGACTTCCTGCCCCCTCCTTCCTCTCCAGAGCTCCACCCACCCCTTTTTTCCACCAGGGCAGCGCCCTTGATGCTATGTAAATGCCCTGCTTAGCATTGTTTCCATCCTTGTGCAGAAAGGGGTCTGAACTGCGCCTGGGTTTGCATTTCCACCCCTGTCGGTGAGTTCTCACTTTAGGTCAGGGCGATAAGAAGGGAAGAAATGAACAGGGGGGAAAGATCACAGCAGCGTGACTGAATTCTCTTTTTAAGGTGGGAATGTGCTGTTCCACGGCTACCCAGGCCTCGTTCACATCTGTGCCGCCCGTGTCTGGCACAGAGCTGGAGTCTGCAATACGTATAAGGACAATGAGCTATTGGGTTGTCGGAAAAGTCATGACGCATATTTTCCTATGTTTTTCATTGCAAAAATGCGTCCTGACTTTTCCGACAACCCAATATTTCAGGCGTGTCAAAAAGAAGTCATGGGGTCCCCAATTCTTCCACTTGAAAACTTTTTAAAGGAATGGCCATTTAGACATAGCCTCGTGCAATCGGATAACCCTAAATGGAGTTCCAAAAGCAGTGATTCCCACCCACATTTATCAGGTAGCTCCTCTGCGCTGTGCGATGGCTGAGAAGGGGGGGTTGGTTTCCATCCGAGAACTGAGTCCCCCCTCGTGGGAGGCTAAGTGACTTACCTAAGATCACACAGCTTCCAGGGACAATATCAGAAACTCGACAAGGTCATTAACACTGAGACCTGCTCTGTTTCCTTAAGTCCTGCTACCGCTGTGGGTTTTGTGGGACTAGTCTCTGGGAACTAGACGAGTCAAGAATGTTCTGAAAAGCTTAGTTAGGGAGAACACAGAGTGGCGAATTCATAGTCGAAGGCATTCACAGTCCTGGTTGGGGGAAAAGCGAGCTCCTGAAAGCTCAGAAAACTTGTTTGTCTGTTGTAGATGTCCACAGGTTGGTCTCCTGCTGATCCCCGTGCAGGTTGGTCTCCTGCTGATCCCCATGCAGGGCCTGTGGCCTTTGGGGCTTAACTCTCCACCACTCAGGCTAACGTCAGAGGAAACTCTGATTGCATGATGGCCTGAAGCCATCAGTCTGTCCCCTGCTGCACCTCCAGGCATCTGGGACTAACCAAATGAGTAGGCCTGCGTGTTAGCTGAGTAGATGCTTGTTCCATGAAACCCCAAGCCCCTAGCTTAGTGTGGTAAAGAATAATTAATGCACCAGCTGCACCACCTTCTCCCTTATTCTAGTAGGTGTCACAGAAAAGAGGAAATCGTTAGGACTGATCACAAGGGAAGCTTGTCAGGGGTGGGGGATGGAAAAGCCACCCGCCGGCGCTTGATGTGGTTGCCTGGATCACAAACTGGGTACGACCTGGGGAATTCTCTAACCAGGGGGCGGCGGGGTGGGGAGACCCCTCTACCTCCTTTTCCGAGGTGACCCCCCCACCCACACAGTGGAAAAAGAGAAACTTATTTCATGACGATTTGCATTAAAAAAAATAAAGGCAAATGAGCAAGTCCTTGGAGGCCCATGTTTTCATGGGGTTTGCTCAAGCATGCCACCCTCTTTGCCCCAGTGTGAGAGGTGACAATACAAGATGGATTCGGTGGGCGGGGGCCTCCTAGGCCGGCCTGGGCTCTCGATATTACAGTGTCAGTTTTCTAGAAGTGGCCATGACTCGGGGAGAAAGCTATGATGTGAGCCGGTTTGGAGAAGGTGGGAGATGGGGCCCCAGCGGTAGCAGGCACGGAAGAACTGCACAGCTGCATACAGCCCTGCACTTTGCATGGGAGGCGAGAGGCTCTCGATTCCCAGGGCCCCCTGTGCACACACTCTGCCTCACTTCATCACAAGTTTCCATCTCCTTTGTCCCAGGGACCGTTCTCTTTTTCCCCTCTTCGGTTTGGGGAGGACAGTGACTGGGCTAGGAAGGAGAGCCACTAAACGTGCCCTGCATCTGACTTGAGTGGGGACAGAGCAGCAGGGGCTCTGCACGCTCCCTCGAGGGCCTCTGAAGGGCCACGGGATCCTGCATAACCTGGGTGTCTCCATTTTGGCAGAAGAGAGAAGGCTGCCTTTTGAAGGGGCCCGAGGAGTCGTGGAATAAGAGGTAGAGGGAGGCCGGGCAGCAGCTCGACTGTCCGCTCTCGTGTTGAGCTGTGGCTCGCCAGACATTGTAGAGGACGTCGGACCTGTGAACTTTGCCCAGTACAGTGATGCAAGGGAGGACGGGGAGTCAGGTGTGGTCACCTGTCAAGAGAGGGAAGCCAGGCCCCGAGAGCTGTGATGTCAGCGGGGAGGCAGAAGGGTCCCAAGCTCGCCCTTGACTCCTCCTGAGGACACGCCTGACCATACCCTTCCCAGCTCTCCACAGGAACCGCACGGTGTGTTAGACGCCAGGAAATAAAGGCCGGGGTGTCAGGAGCCACAGGCACCGCTGAACCCGAGAGCGGCGGGTTTTACGGTCAGGCTTTGCTTGCTGCCAGCTGGTGTCCTCTTCCGGCTCTCTGCCCAGCCCCTGAAGGACTGTAGCTTTGGGCGCCTGGCTCAACCTGACATCACTGGGAAAAGCTGACTCTGGCCATCAGTGATTAACCTGTGATGTTGTGACCTCCCCCTAGAACAGAACAGCGGTTCTCCACCTGTGGGTCGCGACCCCTTTGGGGGTCGAACGACCCTTTCACAGGGGTCGCCTAAGACCATCAGAAAACAAAAAGATACTTACATGACGATTCATAACAGTAGCAAGATTACAGTTATAGAGTAGCAACGAAAATAATTTTATGGTTGGGGGTCACCACCACATGAGGAACTGTATTAAGGGGTCGCGGCGTCAGGAAGGTTGAGAACCGCTGCCCTAGAACGACTGGCCTCTGTGACCCTACCAATGGAACCCAAGAGTTCCATCATTTTCAGGAGGGTTTCTTAGAGCTGGCATCTAACTTTGTCAAGTTACACCGAAAAAGCACTAGCAGAGCTTCGATAATGCGTGTTATATACCCCAATATTATTATGCCCGTGATAGCATGGTCGCCTGGGCTGGCAGGGGATGATACGCAAGAGCCTGGCCTGGGTTGGACAGAGGACTGTACAAAGAGCTCATGAGACAAATTTAGATTCCTTTGTGGGCCTCAGTTTTCCCCACCTATAAAATAAAGGGATTGAACCAGCCTTCTTGTAAGATCCATCACAAAAAGGCCACCAAATCAACATCCTTCCGGGGTGCCACCGCTCAATCTTTTTAAACATTTAATTATGAAACTGTTAACTACAAGCAAAGTGAAGGCGACAGGGCCCCTGTGGACCCATTACCCTGTTTGGACTACGACCAACTTCCCCCATCGTCCCATCTTTGTCCCGGACTCTCGTGGGATAGAGTTAAGCATCGCACCAAAGAAGTCAGACTTACCGTCTGGGCAGGGCACAGGCCTCTCTGGAGGCGCTGAGGTGGATCGTATGCTGTTTCCCATTTCTCTCTCTCCCCGGGCTGTCGGAGACGCTCGAAGCCTGTGGCACAGGGGTAGACAGAGAGTCAGCCACGCGCCCAGCCCTCTGGGTGGAGAGTGACCCAGTTTAGAGTACATCGTGCATCTTTTTTCAGGCAGCTCGCTTCTTGAAAGGCGGCTGTTTTTAGGTGACGGTGAGATTCACGAATGTTGATTACATTTGCACAGCGTGAGTTCTTTTATCAAGGGAATGACAGAGAAAAAAACCACAGAGAGGGAAGTTGCTAGCAAGTGCTGTTGGTGGTGAAAGTTTCCACTCCTTGCACCCTGGGTGGCAGAAAGGCACCCTGCAGTGTTTGTGTGGGAGGTGGAGAGTGTCACGTGGCAGCGGGGTCTCTCCGCCCCCTGAACCCTGGCCCTGGACACCAGTGCACCTGGGTTCAGGGCACTGCACTCGGGGGCTGCCTTACAAACCAAGGGGCCTCAGGAGGAGACTGTCTCTCTCAACTTTCTCTCTTCCATTTGAGTTTCTCAACCCACTCTAACAAATGGTGAGAGGAAAACGCATGACAAAATCATGTATTCGCTACATCCTCACAGGCTGCTCCTACACTTTCACATCTGCGGGCACATTTTGTAAAAATTTTTCAGTTGCAGTTGACATACACTATCTATTAGTTTCAGGTGTACAGCATAGGGATTAGACGCTTATATACTTGACGAAGTGATCCCCCTGATAAGTCCAGTGCCCAATCCGACGCCATATATACATGCAGTTATTACAATACTACTGACTCGATTCCCTATGCTGTACTTTACACCCCATGACTATTTTGTCACTGCCAATTTGTACTTCTTAATCCCTTAATGTTTTTCACCCACCCTCTCAACCCCTTCCCACCTGGCAAACATCAGTTTGTTCTCTGCATCTATGATGAGCCTATTTCGGTTTGTTTCTTCGTTTATTTTGTTCCTTAGATCCGACATGTAGGTGAGATCATATGGAATTTGTCTTTCTCAGTCTGACTTATTTCACTTAGCATCATGTCCTCAGGGCCATCCTTGTTGTCACAAATGGCAAGAGTTCCTTCCTTTTTATGGCTGAGGAATATTCCGTTGTATAGATTTGATGGCACACTTTTGATTATTGTAAAGTCCCTGCATCCTAACCCCATTTTGCAGTCAAGAAACTGAGTCTCAGAGGGGGTGGGACACTTATCTAAGGTCACACAGCGTGTGACTGTAGAGCTGGGATTTGAACTGCGGATGCTAGGTCTCTGGTTTGTTCCGTAATGATTCAGATTCTGGCTCTGCCCGTATAAGCTAGGTGACCTTGGGCAAGTTATTGACCTTCTCCTGCGTGTTTTGGGGAATCATAATAAAACAACACTTGGTTGTGGCTATAAAACTAACAGATAAATCATGTGAAGCCCTTAAGAACATGGCCCAGCAGAAAACCCATGTTAGTTATTGCCATTTACACGGTATTTTCTGATTGTTCCTAATGATACGCATTGAAATTCTGGGCCCTCGTTTTAGAAAGGGACTTAGATGCTTGCAGAATAAAAGTGTCCCCCTCAGGATGCCTGAGGCCCGAGGAGGACCAGCTGAACACTCTAGCTCCACCCCGTTCTTTGCCTGTAGTTAAGGATCAAGGCCTTAGGGGTGTGAAAGGGTCCAAAAGTCAGCCATCCAACCCCACCCTAGCCTTCAGTCCTTCCTCTGAGCTCAGTACCTTCAGAGCAAGGCCTTTCACAGTTCAAGGCAGGTCTGCACCACCTCCTAATGCTGGGAAGAGATGGGGGTGAGGAGGAAGTGGGATACCTCATAGATCAGGAAACAAGGAAAACCAAAATGAATGGTTTTTGAAAGTTAATATATTTTAAATATTTACATGAACCGTTTATCACTTATAACCCAAACTAATATAATATAATATAATTGTGCTGCTCCCAAGATAATTACAAGACTTGCAAAAACTATGAATTCATAATGCACCATAAAAGGTGTGGCTGAGACGGGCCTCATGTTAAAAGTTAAGAATCTCTTCTTATTCTGATGTTGTTGGTCTTCGTGCCAGGAAACAACAGGGTGTGTGTGTGTGTGGGGGGGGTGCTGGGGGCAGGGAAAGGGGTGGTGTAAGGGTAAGTCCCTAAAAATTCAAGGCTCGGGCCCTTCTTTCTCCGTCTTGCCTACCCTGCCCCAGATACAATGAAGGGGGGCGCCTCTGACCTTGGCAGGGTCCTTCCTGCAGGCCAGGCAGGTTTGAACAGCATCACCTGGACCCAGGGGCAGGGACCAGTGCTTTTTGTCTTGGGACCCTACCCTGGTGTATGCTGTGAAGAAAACATGCTCCTTCAAAAGTGCTTGAAAAACCATGCCTGGCCGAATGACCAGAAGCCTTATTGCCTGCAGTTCAGCAGACGTTTCCCTAGAGTCTCCAGTACTGGGCCCTGCGCTGCACCTGGAGATAGGCAGGCCCACGTGATCCCACCCACCTGACAGGGAATGCGTGCACCCCACCAGAGACGCGTCCAGGGAAGGAGCTGGCGGCTGGCCCGTGTGTGCACAGAAGTCCCGTGGAGGCCTCCCTCTGCCACCTCGGTCCTGCTCCCAGTGCCTCCCTGGAGCCTACCAGGCAGCCCCATCCCTCAGCCTCCCTGTCTGTCATCACCAAGGCCCTCGGGCTCCTGGAGAAAGCGCTCAGGACAGGCTGAGGAGAGGCCCTGGAAGGTGTCCCATGCGGAGATCACGCCTAACCCTGTGTGCTGGCCTTCTCCCGTCTCTCACTCTCTCAAGTGTTCCCTCACCGCAGCACACTGCACTGTCACCCCACTCTCCTGCCAATGCCATTCTGTTTCCTGAGGCCTGACACTCGGTGCCAAACACCAGGGGTTGTGCCTTTAACCTGCCCCCAGAGCGCCCACCCCTCCAGACATCCCAGGCGCCCCTCCCCTGCAACCTGTCTTTGCTTCCCTCCCTCTCCATCCCTTCCTCTGAGTCACTTCCAGGCAGCAGCCTCTGGCTGCCATGTCTGTCTCTTTCCTTCCTTTTCATCACAACTCCAGACAGCTCCTCAGGAAAAACCTGTGTTATCTATCAGAGTGAATTCTAAGGCCCCCTTCTCCCCAACAACTTCGAAATTCTTCTCAAGCATCCGTGTGCTATTTTGGGGGAGATGCATGGAATCCAGTACAGCAAAAAAAAAAAAAAAGACTTGAAATTCGCGTTTTTTTCAGGTGGGACAACTGAGCACCATCCAAGACAAGAAACATACCCAGAGTCTCGAGAGGAGCAAGGCGGAGTGGGTCCTAGGCGTGTGGGTTCTTCGGCTCTGACACACGCGCTCCCCCTGTCTCTGCCTGGCAGGTTGGTGTGCAGGTGCCGAGAGCAGGGGCTGGGGCTGGGCTCCAAGCCCATCACATCCTGGACTGCTCAGAAAAAAAAACCCATCAGGGCTCAACAGCCCCTGAGTAGTCTGCTCACCGGCTTCCTATAGTCTCCAGGAAGGAGTTAACTTATCCGAAAGAGGCTTTTATTTGAGAAGAGTGAAAAATGCCCCAGAGAACGCGAGCTGGAAATCTCCCTAGCGAAATGGCTGAACAATTTGATTTAATCTGTGACAGTTTTATGCAGCGGCTGGAGGTGGGAGAGGGGGTATGAGACATAATTTCTTCTAGGAACAATAAGGGCAAAAGAGAAATGAGTTAATTAACTTTGGCGCTAAAAAGTCTTGATTTTTTTTCTCCCTTTTCTTTGTGACGTCAAAGGATCGGGCTGGTATTGGCCTTGTATCCCCGCCCCCAGTCCTCCCCAGTTGTTGGACCCATGGTTTCTTCTTTGGGCCTCAGTTTACTCTCCTGAAAAATGAGATGAGCTGAAAAGATGATCTCTGAAGAGAGAGCCACTTAACGCCTTTTCATTCCTGCTATCAAGACTCAATGGCTTTTTGGAAAATTATTATTAGTAAGAGAAAAGAGCCATCCGCTTTCTGATGCAGTCCCGTCAGACAGAAGGCAAACCTCGTCTTTGTGTTCTTCAGGGTGAGGGCGGTGGCAGGCTGTGGGTGCTCTGTGCCCACCCCCTGGTGGGCGATTAGCAGACACCATTGCGTGTTATCTCCCAGCACCGCTGGAGACAGAGGTTTCTCTTTCACCTGCTCAGGGTGGAGGTGGACCGGTTAGCTTCCTGGCCCATGCTCCCAAACCTGGAAACCCACCAAGCAGGGACGAAGGGTCGGGGAAGGGGAACCTACCTCTCCTGACTTCGGAACCCACGTCCTTCCCCCAGGCCCACAATGCGCTCTCTCCGCAGGGAGGAAGAAAGATCACCCAGGAACCCTGGTCAGTGAGTGGGTGGCCACCATTTGAGCAGACACATGTCACAGAAAGGTCACACGCCTGCAGGGAGCTGCCGTCAGGAATGTGGGATGTGCCTTGACCAGCTAGGTTTCTGTTGGACCAGATCAGGGATCCTTTCATCATGCGCTCTGCGTGAGCTTGTAAACACAGGGTCAGGCTTCTCCGAGCCTTCCATTCCCTGGCAGCATCTCGGGACAGCTCTGTGTGCCTGATCCACTCTGCGCGTCTAAAAGCCAGGCCTTGCTGTTGGAACGGAAGGTACCCTGAACCCCTTTGTAGTATGCAAAGGGGGAGAGAGCTTGGGGGCCCCAACCATGGGAAGGCAGATCTGGACTCTGCAGTAAAACTAGGAGCTGGTGGAAAACCTTGGCGACGGTGGGGATGTGAAAACCTACGTAGGGACATAATCTTCCCTGTGGTCTTAGGATTTCTTCCACAAAGTGTGACAGCTCTGAGGCCCTTCACATGGCCTGCTTCTAATGTGTGTGAGCATGATGCCGCAAGTGGGGGACCACACATCCACCGTATCAGAACCCCAACAGCAGCAGTAACTACCAGAATCACCTCCCCCCCCCCCATCACGGTTAATCAGCCCTTCCTCTGTGCCGGGCACTGGGCTAAGCGCTTCACCCTGGCTTGCTCACAACAGCTCCCCTTTGTAGGTGAGATACATTAGGTCACTTGTCCAAGGTTATTGGGGTTCAACCCGGGTCTGCCTGACTCCAACACCTATGCTCCCAGCCTCCCTGAAATGCTGTCCTGCTTTCCGGCCCTCCGGCCTAGTCTAAGAATGCAACAGAAAAGTGACTTTTAAAAATCATCAAAGCAAACTTCGGGACTGTAAACGATTGGGTAAAACTGTAGTACAAGGGACAC